GAATTGAATGCATTGAATTCCGCTAGTAAAATAAAAATTGACTTTATACATAAAAAATTTTACATTTCAACACTCTCCAACGAAAATGTACTAACCCAAAAAATAAATTATTTCGGAGAAAATTGGTAAAAACACACTATTTAAATTAATTTTTGTGATAAAATGAATAAAATGTTAAACCACAATTTGAACATTCTTCACATACAACTGATAGGTAAAATTTTTAATTATTTTGGTTTAAATATTTGGAAAATTGCATTTTTTGAGTTTATATACATTTACCGTAGGGGTGCAATATATAAAATATTCAATAAGATATAAAACTTTTATTATATAGTATTTTTGTTTAATAAATACTATGATGTTGAATTAATTTTGAACAAAAGACTTAAGTGAGGAACATGATTTTTTATAGACTGTACATACGTTACGTAGTCTCTTCCTCATTTACCAGCATATGCATATACATAATTACGTATAAAAAAAAAAGCTCATAAATTTTCGGGTACGTTAAAATATTAGTAAAAATAAAATATTAGGTTGCTACTTTTTCAGTTAATAGAGAGTTGTACCCTATACTTTCTCTGTCAAAAGCAAGCAGTAAATTAAAAATTTCTGTAAAATATAATTTTAATGAACATAATTTAATATTTTCGATATAATGTTATAAAAAATAATCGAGTCCTTGAAATTTTTGATAAATTCGACAATATTAGAAATTTTGGACGTTAATATAATTACAATGAATTCATCACAAAAGTTTTCAAAGCAGGATTAAATAAATTGCCTATAACTAAAAAATATAAGATTCTATAATTCTTTTGAATGAAAGAAATAAAAAAATGATGAATTATATAGAATTTTCATTAAATTTTAGCATTTTAAAATTAAATTGCGTTAAGACATTGTAGAATTCATTATTGAACAAATATTAAACCACATTTATTGTATATTTAGTGACCCTAAGCAGATGAACAAATTATAACATTAGGAAAGCGCAAACTATATATACCCGCATTATTATAAAATATGTGACAATAAAACATTATACTCTGAATAGCGATAAAAACTTATGTTAAAAGGCTGTATACAAGATACTGTATAAAACACAGTATTGCAACATGTTATATAAAAACATGTTAATGATTTTCGTCATTCTCTAATATAGCTGATTATTTTGAGTTCTTATAGCATTACAATTTATAGTTGACTAGATCAACTGAAATATTTCACATATATATATATATATTTAAAAAATAATGTTATATGGTATACCTATGAAAGTATATTGACGGGAATCCATAAAATTTAATAACTCTGATGTCAGAATTTTAATTTTATTATAATAATATTAAAAAAAACTAAGTATTTATATTAAATATTTATATATACATATATAGACATATTATTATTAACGTAAAAATAAAAAAAAAATTCACAATTTTTCTCGAAAAGATAACAAAAAAATTCAGTGTTGCTAGTAGCGTTCTGAAATTCCTTAATTCATTTTATTTTTTATGATTTTTTTTTTTATTATTTTTAAATACCTTTGATGGAAGATTCTAAAAAGAATAGTTTGGATTGTAATAAACAAAAACAAAAAATAAGAAAAATCTAAAATTAAAAGTTATTTTCTATAAGCTTATATAGTCATTTTTCTATATACAATGTGTTATACTATCTAATTGTGAATATTTATATATAGAGATGGTATTAATTTTCAGATAATTCTCGAAATTATATAATGACCAGATTTTAACATTAGAACAAAAAAAAAAAAAAAGAAAAATAAAAAAAAAATAATTTTTTTTTATTCCTGATCAAAAAACCATTAAATGTTAAGTTTCTATTTTTAGTTATTTTTTTTTTGTTTTCTCCTTTTGTTATTCTGCCTTTCAAGACATCTTATTTAGAACTTTTTAGAATATATAATAAAAAAAAAAACAACACAGTTGTTATGAAATCACCTCAAGAATTCACAATTCACATCAAGAATTTAAGAATAAAAAAAAAACACTGCTTTTGATGTAATTTAAAAATAATTTTTGTGCTTTGCAATTTCGAATTGATGTAAGACAGTGGTAATATGACACCATCTTCTTTAAAAATTTATTCTAATTACAGAACCAGTAAGCTAGTATATATATATGTATAGAAATTTTCCTTACATGTATCAAGTGCGAAAAACTTAACTACATACAAATAAAATATTATAATAAAGCCTTTATAATCAGAAACTGTACAAATCCAATTTTAATTCAAAATTACGAAATTCTAAATTTTATAAAAACAATCTGGAATACATATTGTCATCACTCCATTCTACATTGAAAATTTAGTTGGTTGCGTGAAATTGGTTAGTTGAATAATTTTTTGTATAAAAATTCTGTTATATAGGTAAAAAGAATTTAAATAACATTTAATAACAAGCATTTGACACAGGTTTCATTTATAAAAATTTTAAAGCAGTCTACCGGGATTAATGTGAGCAAGTTTGCATCTTAATCCTTTTTTTGAACTAGGACTGTTAAAGATGAAAGAAGTACATGTACCATAAAAGGAACGTTCCAACTATTGATAAATTACCAAACCATTATACTAAAAAAGTAATTGTGAGAATAATTTCTTAATGGAACGCTGTTTTGTTATTTTTTATACTTGTTATATAATTTTGTTATATATATAAGAAACTAATCAGTAAATTAAATATTCAAACCTTGACTTCATATAAAAATCTGTGAACTGTTATACGTTTAAAGTGTATAACACATAAAGTGTTATACATTTAGAATGTTATATGCCTGCAATTGGAACGATGTAAAAGTATTTTATAGAATTGCTTTGTGAATTTTTTAAATAAAAGAAATTTTATTTAAATAATTCACAAAATAAAGAAGAGGAATTTGGAGACAACGGAATATATTAATGGAATAATCGAATCTTTCAAATAAACAGAAATATAACAAATACTTAATTTAATTTCCTATATTTATAAAATTTTTGACTTATTCAATTTAATTTCTTAATACCTCATATGTATTCCTCATATTATTTAGAATTTTAACTCTGATATATGAAAGATTCTATAAAAATAGTTTTGATAATCACCATCAAGATTTTAAGAATTTCTGTAAATATATAACGTGTGTACTTATTTGAATATGGGCATGTTATACGTTGCTATGGTTACAAAGCTTATACAAAATAATGTTTTTAAACGACAATTAGAATTTTGTAATTTATACGAATTTTTTTTTTTCTAAAATTAATTCTATTGTAAAGTTGAATTAAATCACAGTTTGTTGTTAACACTCTCTATCTAGAATATGTAGCTATATAGAAGTAATTTAAAAAAGTTTTGTTAATTTTCTTATATGCTTATGAGAAAAATAAGTATGGGCTAAGTGTATAGAAATCTTTGGAATGAAAATCTTTTATTTTTTCAAAGAAATCTTAGCGTTTTTTTTTTACATTTTTTTTTATTTAAGTAATTTTTTGTGTAAATGTATATGTTCAGTAATATTAGAGTGGAACTATACAATTTCTGTATAAGTATATAAAAAATATTTTGAAAGAAATGTTTGTGCTACAATGCTTCTTAATTTTTTAATGATAAAATAGCTATGGTGTTCTTACGTCATTTTATTATGAGAATTTTGATTTATTAAAGACAAGCTATAAAATTTTTTCGTTTTTGTTAAAAACGAAAGAAATGTGATGAACTGATGCCTTTAGGTAATAACATGGTAAGCAATGATGTTTCTGCCTTGTATATATATACAAATATGAAACGATGTTTGTATACATAAGTAAAATATTAGGTGTATTTGAAATAAATTGATGAGTTAATTCTATGTGATTTGGAATCAGGAATCTTTTGAACTTTTTTGAATTATTCAAAGATATACGAAAGTAAATATAATTTATAAAAAGAAAATAAAATGAGAAATTCGGGCTCAACTTTTTTTACATTTTCTTCAAATAGTTGTCTAGAGAATTAATCGTTTAACATATATAAAAACCTTCTAAATTTTGAAATAAAATTGCAAAATAAATTCAAAATGATGGAAAACATGGTAGCATAAATTTTAATAATTATAGATTTAAATTCTCTATTCTATCGTAGATTTCCCTATAAAAACATAAAAAATTTCAAATTTTAGTCAAAAAACGCTAGAACGATAAATAAATTACATTAGTTACAGAATTATTATATTTGTTTGCCATTGTATAGATTTTATTTTTTTGAAAAATTTCAAAAGTAAAAATAAGTACATACACAATTTCATATTATTTATCGCCTAAGTAGTTTCGTATAATTTTTATTACCCCAATTTTATCTATATCATAAATTCGAAGAAATTCCGAAAAATTCGTATACTATTCTAAAAAAAACCATCTATATATTTAACTTTTAAAAATAATGATTTGTATTCTTTCTATAAATGTGAATATACGAATATTTCCATAAGTTTGTGAACAAAAGTAATCACTGAAAGTAAATCCGGTTCACTATTCCTATTTTTAGATCTAATCAAGTAACTAGTTAAGTAATATGTACTTATGTGTATTATAAAATAAATTTATCTTGGATATAGATAAATGTAATCCTAGAATTTATCCTGAAATCCGGAAGTTCACTTGATAAAATGGGCCTGTAATTATGCAACAAAATGTTATTACATTATGTTCTGGGGGAGTAGAAACAAAATATGTACATAATATCTTCAGCGTTTTCAAATACATGCAAAAATTTTATTGAAAAAAAAAATTTTCGAACATTTAGCATGGCCTATTAATAAAGTTATACTAGTTATACTCCAAATACATGTACATATATTACGTTTTTTTTGGATTGAGCTACACAGTATTTTACTAATAATAATATTATTTGCCACTATATTGGTTAAAACTTAAAAGATTTGTTATTGTTATTCAATTAAGCAAATTATAATTAAGGCATTAAATTCGAGCAAATATGAAACAAATATTTAACATACCCTTGATTTCTTGATTAGTAAATTGATTCTCTTCAATCCTTATATTGTATTTCGATCTTTTATATTGTATAATTTTAAATTTTCAAATTATTATTTTCATTTTTATTTAGCAAAAAAACTTGATAGTTGTGTGCTTATTTCAATTCCCAATTCAATATTAAATTTTTCAATTTTATTTATTAATTTTATTTTATTTTACATGTAATAATATGAATACTTTGTTTCAAAATTTTTATTATAAATTTTATTGAATTTTTAAAATTGTATTTTAGAAAAATATTCCAGCATAGGCAATTAAAGTGTATTTGTTATAAATTTCGAATTTTTTAAAAATTTAATTTTCTATTTATTTATTTTCTTCCGTTTAATATATTTGTATGTAGAAAAAATTACTTGACTTCCAGCAAGTTTAACATGTAAAATATTACAAATATACAAAAAATTATATGTATATATGGTATGTAATAACTAGATATTAAATATAAAGTATATAAAATCGTTTATAGTTGAATAAAATGTAATTTGTATGTAAAAACTTGAATAGAATTTGTGTGGGCTTATTAAATCTAAAAATAAAAACGTGTAACTACTTACAGGTAAAAAAAAAAACAAAATACGCGAGAACAGTCAAGAATTTTTATTTTTTACTTTTTTTTTTTTGGTTACTTTAGGTAATTTTCTATAGAAATCTTGGAAAAAATTAATTGATGACGAATAAGACTTCCAAACACTTTAGTATTGAAAAAATACACTTGAATTTTGTTTTCTAAAAAAAAAATTTTTTTTCGACAATTCTTTTCATTTAGTTTAAATAATTGTTTTGTTAATTTTAATAATTTTTTTTTTTTTACTTTTTATTAAGAGAAAATTCATGAATGTATATTTGTATATATATATATACAATTATGTATGTAATTTTTTATTATTTCTTACTTGTTACGAGTATAAACTTGATTTTCCGTAGAAATGATGAAAAAAAAACAAAAATAACACAAACTAATAAAAAAATTTCTAAATAAAAAAAAAACTTTCTTTTAAGAATTTCAAAGTTGTTGAATATAGAAAATCTAACAACAATAATAAGAATAACAAATTTATTTTCTATTTATTTCAATGTTAAAAACACACACATATATATACACATTAATATTTCTTGTGTACAGGTAATTCACGTATACAGGTAAAAATCTCAGTTTATTTTACAAAACAAAAAAAAACAAAACTTGTTAAACGGACCGAATTCTGTAAGCATACACACATATATATATATTTATAATATTTATACAGTAATGCATGTATGTATATATCTATATATGTATATATTGTTATTGTAGTAATTAATTTTTTTTTACTTTCGTGATTTAAAAATTAATTAAAAAATTAGAAAATATTCAAGTTAAATAACAATTTTTATATATGCTTTTTTTTTTATAAATTTCAACAATTCACAAAAAAAATTATTTAAAATAAATTTTCTAACATTATTATTCTTTTTTGTATTATTAAATTTCTGAAAACAAAAGTAATTACAAAACAAAAAACAAGAAGTAAAAATAAAAAAAAAATAAAATAAATTTAATATTATTAACGCGCTTAAATAAAAAAATATCCAATCGATTCGGAATTAAACTCACTACTGATCTCTGAGATCAAAAAAAATTTCTATCATAGCAGTGGTATGGTAGGGTAAACGGAAAGTAAAACACAATTTTCCATGAGGGAAAAATTTACAACTTAAAAAATTAACCATAAACATTTATAAGTAAAAGTAATAAAAAAATTAAATTGAAGGGGAAATAGTTACTCTTTTAAAAGAGTGGCTCTTTAAACGAACAAAAACAAAAAACGCTCTTCTCTTTATAGTTTATATTTAATTTTAGAAAAAGAGAAAACTTATTGAAATTTTTAAATTGAGTTGATCTGTGGATTTGTAGATGAAGCTTGAATTGATTTAATTTGCTTAGAATATATTTGAGTTACCTTCTCCAATAAATTCTCAAATAAATTCAAAGCACTACTTTATGCAAAGAAGAGAGTAATAATCGTAATTATATTGTTTGTATTAAATTGATTTTGAACAATTCATTAATTTGTTTTTGAATTAAAAATATTTTTGTTCTTTAAAATTTTTGATTACTGAAATTTTAAAACTTTAAATCTTACAATTTAATCTGATTTAAATTAGAATATTAAATTTTCTAATAAAATGGGAATTTGTAATTTGAACTCAAAAAAATTACAAATTTTTAATTATTCAAAATTTAAAAATATTTTTTTTTCTGTTTAATTAATTCTTTCTAATAATTTTCAATTCAAACTCCAATTTTTAATTTCTCATATGTATTTATTAGTCACTCTCATCTTTTATTCAAATTTTATAATTTAGCTTTAACTTTATTATTGCTCTCTTTCTTATATTCTTATCGGAGGAGAATTTTAAAAATCATAATATTTGAACAAAAAGTAAAAAATTAAAATCATAATAAATAAAAGTGGTGCGACAGGTATTTTTATAAACTCATATTTTAGCCTTAAGCCACAAAAGAAAAAAAGAAAAAGAGAAAAAATAAATTTTACTAAACTTTGATTTTCATTATGAGAATGTGTTCGTCTTATACTATTGTGTAGCTACAAAATGTACAAACTCAGCTACGCAGTAATTCACAGAAACAGTGACGTTATTCGTTATAATATAAGCGGTTTTGTATTATGTGTAAGGTAATCATATATGAATTACATATTTATTCCAAACAGAAATTCTTAAAAGAAAAACCTGTAATAAATAAAAATTTTCTCTCAGGAAACTTGTAAAATCGTAATATATATGAATTTTGAATTAAATGAGATGAAAATAATGGTGAACGGGAGATTAAAATAAAATTAATAAAGAAAATGAGAAATTTTTTTTTAAGCTCAATTTTATAATGTGTTGTATTGGGTAATTTGTTTTTAGTATAGGATTTTCTCTCACAGAGAATCACAATGTTATGTTATTATGTAGAAATTTTGTATTCTGTTAAATTGATATGTATTTTTACTTTATTTCATATTTCGAAATTAATGAAGTGAAAGAAAAAAGTGTAGAAAAATAAAAAAATAACAAAAATAAAAAAAAATAAAAGAAAATGTAATTTTCTTGTTTTTACAGAAGATAAAATTTTATACACATGTGTATGTTTGTGTATATATAGGCTCCTTATATCCGTAATGTTCACCTGAATCTTTTTAATTTCCGTAAGTTGATGTTAATTAAATTCTATTGCATATTATATGTACATACATACATACATATGTAATATAAATTTCTTTGATAGTCCTTATGCCGCCTATGCTTCTAAAATGTGTAAATCTATTAATGGTCAATTTTTGAATGATTTTTTCGATGATTTTCTTTGCAGTGAGCAACTTTAACATTTAAGAGAAATTTTCTTGTATATTTTATTTTTTTGATATCGTTCTTCTTATTCTTCATCACCAATTTTGTAATCGAATAGAAAATTTTTATTAATATTCTATTTATTTTTTTAATGCAATTTAATATCTTACCAGATATTACACTTGAGACAACTAGTGCATTATTAAATTAAATGTTAGTATGTTAATTTTTTCGGCAAGTGTGTACGTATGTATTGGATAGATGACTTTTTATATGAGCTTCCAAACTATGTGTACGAAATATAGTATTAAGAGTGTTATGTGGGAAATATTTTCATTTCATGTAATATACTGTCATGTCGTGCGTCTATTCATTATTATTGTTCGTATATATTAAATGAAATGAGCATACTATGATATAGCAATATACTTGCATGCAAGTTAATAAGCAATGATACAATGAATTAAGGAAGAATAACAAGTTGAAAAATATGTATGTAAAAAGAATCAAAAAAAAAAAAGAGGCGAAATAAGCGCACTGCTCAGCTGATGACGATGATGAATTAAAGAATTTGGATCCGGTTTTGGGGGCATATGAAGTATACAAGTGTGTGAGTGTGTATGCGAATGTAATATCACTGTGGAAAAATTATAAAAGTAAAAAAAAAAATGAAAATTTTGTTTTCCTTTATTTTCTCAAATTCAAGTCACAAGTTGATATTTGAGTTTAGTTAGAAATTTTCGGCTGGTATACTCACTAGTACAAAGAAATGGAAAAGAAAATCGAGGAAAAACTGAGAGAATTGGCAATAAGCAAGGATGACAAATAAAATCTGAATTTTTTTTTTTTTTTTATTTGGAATTCTTCTACTTCTTCATCTATAGTGGGTTTAAAATATTTTTCTTAATTTTATATATGTAATATATGTGTGTATGTGCGACTTCAAATATTTTTGAGTTTATATAAAATTAATAACCAGAGATTGTATGACGCTCATGTAAAAAAAAAAAATATAAAATAAAATTCAAATTGCAATGAGAATATTGAGAATGAATCTAGTTTTACAAGGTTGTGTTATGGCATTACAATGTGCGCTACATACGAGTATACTCTCATCTAACTTTTATTTAATGTGGTTTTTATGATTCTTCTCTTCTTTGTTTTTGTTTTTTGTGATTTTTAGTTTACATTTATAGCAGCATTTGCTGTGTCGTTAAAAAGTCTGCAATATTTTCGAGGTCAATTGAAATTAAAAATTAAGATTTTTGTGGTCTCATATAATTAGATTTCTCTTATAGATGTCAAAAGAAAATAAATTGGAATATGATTTAATATTAATAATATTATTGTATATTGTATATTGTGCATATATATATACGTGATTTACATGCATTTGTATGCATCTGCGTGTAATATTGTGGGTATTTTTTGTTTAATAATTTGTAGCTATATGATGAATGAATTGGAGTAAGGGAAGTCTATACCTATAAATATATGGAAATTATTCATTTTTAAGCACATTTAGATTAAAATTAAAAAAATGTGTGTATGACTGTCATTTTGTCCGACTACATTATAAAAACAATGTCATTTTGAAAAGAAATGATTCATTTGGAAATGTGCTTTTTTAAAAATCGTCGCTTTGATTCGAATTTTTTAGACCAAATATGCATTTTTTATTTGATATTATATTAGGGTTAGTTAATTAATTAAAGTTTATATGTAAAAAAAATTATGCCCTTAAATGTACTGGGCCTACAAAATATTATACATCTACTTTTCGAAACTTATATAAATGCTTGTTATTTTGGTGTAATAATATTGTGAGATCAAAATTAATCCATATTAACGACCCATAGGATCGTTTGTGATTCCCATCCCTACTTACATTAGCACTATACCTAGGCCCCTTTAATATTGCAGTATGGCGGCCACTTCCAACTTCGAGACTTCCATCGCGGTCACTAAACCCCTTCCGAAGCATCCCAGTCAGAAAAGAGTGACAGCCTCATGTTCACAAAATAAGTGCTCTACCGTTTCGCCTTCCTCCAGGCAGAGACAGCAAACCTTATCCCTCGCTTTGTCCATCCTTTAAAGAATCATATAATAAATTAAAAGCTATTGAGCGCACGTAGCACGCATAATTTTTTTTCTGTATTTTGAGCAGAAAAATTC